AAAATAGAGAATTATATTAAATATAAGAAGATTATAGATGAATCTCTTGCAGTGGCATTATAGTCAAATTAAGGACAAAAACGTAACTTACAGCATTAATAACAGATTTAAATTGTACTTATGATAGATATGGATAATTAAGCGAAGAGACCATCTATGATTATAGATTGTAGCTACAATTACTATAAGGACAAAAATAAAACTACAAAAGTAAAAAATAAGGTCACTATGAATGTTTGAAACTATTGAACGTTCTCACCTATTTAACTAGTTTCACGAGAAAAGTAGGGAAACTCGACATTAATAATCCCCAATCCGCTAGATGTCGTCCCATGCTACTGCATACTTCAACCGGTATGAGGGTCATGGCCTTTAGCCAATTGAGCTAAAGCCACCCCTGTATTGTTTATTAGCACTTTAAGGGCTCGCTCGTCTTTCATAGGTGTCAGACAACTTCGCCGCTTGTTCCGAGTCCCATTCTCTGTGGTCCCTGTAGAACCCACTTCCCGAGCTAACCGTTTCCAGCTGTCCTTATTTGCTTTGGCAGTGGTCCCCTTTCTTGTGTGGTTGCTCATGTCCCCCAGCTGGTGCGACAAAGGAACGTCTACCAGCTGTACCTCAGCAATTGGAGGCAGAACAGCTTGAGACTGATTTATCTCAACCTCCAGGTCCATGTCAGTCGTACCATTCTCTATGTTTCCCCCCTCGACTTGCCCGGTATCCTTATTACCACTCACCACTTGGCTTCCACAAAGGGGCAAATTTGGAAGGGTTTGGATTTCTGCAGATGCAGACTGCTGTGGGTCCTCTGCTCGCCTAGCAATCCCCAAAAACTGGGTATTTTTAGAGAACAAATCATCTAAAATATCAAAGCCGTCTGAACACCATGGGTTCTCAAATTCAGCCTTTAACCAACTACCAAAACATCGGATAATCTTACCACCTGCATCCTTAATACATCCTTAATACAGTGAGCAATTCACAATCACTGTCAACATGGCCCACGCACCCACGTACAAAACAAAACTCTAAAAGTCGTTCATATTTAATCCTTAAGGTTCTTACTCTGAAAATTATAAATTAAATCAATTATAATAATTTTAAAATTTTATAGTTCAAATTAATTTAATTTTATATTAATTTAATTTAATTTTTTATTAAATTAGATCAATTTAACTCTGATCGATCGAATTAG